CCCCTGACCCCTGCTGGCCTGGTCTCCTCCTAACTGTCTGGAAGGAAATCGGACATCTGGAGGATGTCCAGTCGAACCGTTCTAATTAGCATTATTACCCTTTTATTAGTATAGATGTCCTGGCTGGCGTAGCTCAGTTGGTTGAATGTGGTCCCATGCACTGAAAGGCTGCCTGTTGGATTCCTGGCCCAGGTTGCAGGCTTGATCCCTAGTAAGGGTGCGTATGAGAGGCAGCCAATCAATATTTTTCTCTCTCTCTCTTTCTCTCAAATCAATTAAAAAAATTAGAAAAAAAAAAGAATATTAGATGCTATAAATCAACTAAAAGGGAAAATTGTTAAGATAAATTGGAAGGCAGATTATTCATCCATAATGCAGACAGATTAGTAGATAAAAGTTTTGGGAAAACTCAAATATTCTAGAGATTTAGTCTTTAAAAGAATTACAACTATATGTTAATGTATCATTTTGGGAGTATGGGTCAATTAATTACACTTATTTGAATATAAATATTTTAAATTGTTATGGATTTGACAATTATTTTGTGTTTTTTTAAAACATTTTTTAAATTGATTTTTACAGAGAGAGAAAAAGAGAGGGAGAGAGAGTCATGGATGTGACAGCGAAACACCAATTGGCTGCCTCCTACACAACCCCTACTGGGGATCCAGCCTGTAACCCGGGCATGTGCCCTTACTGGGAATTGAGCCAGCAACCTGTCAGTGCATGGTATGACATGCAACCAACTGAGCCATACCTGCCAGGGCATAGACTGAAAAATCTTAAAGTTTCAAAATATCTAGCTTGGGCCATAATGTAGAGATATATTATTTGTCAGTATTAATAAGAATATAAATTGATGTAACTTTTGGGGGAAATTTGGTGATAGCCATCAAAATTCAAAACATTCTCCTTCATTAATTTTTCAGTAATTAACAAATATAATCTCAAGAGTATACAGAAATTTATGTAGAAGGATATTCACTGGAGGATTGTTTGTAATATAAAAAACTGCAGCCAAACTACACTTCCATCAATAGAGACACAGTTAAATAAATTGTTACATACATATAATGATATACTATACGGTGTGTTAAAAGGACTGAAGCAAATCTGTATGTACTAACAGGAAATGATAGTTATATTAAGTGAAGGTAAAACCAAGTTGCCAAATAGGGGGTATATAGTATATAATTCCATCTATTTAGATAAATCTATAGGTATACACACACACATTTTTATACACACACAAAAATGTTACATGATGTATTCCAAACTGTTAACAGTGCCTTTTCCTGGGAAATGGTATGGGAAAGGAGAAATAGAAGACTTACATAATTTTTTTTTTAAAGCGGAGGGATGACTTAAATAGGAAAATTTTAACAGTAATACCAACAAAAACATTATCTAGAATCTAAACCGAAAACAAAGATCTAATGTTAAAAGAAATGAAAAACTTTCTCATATTAGCACTAATCTACATAACCAGTAAGGAGTCTAATGTTGTTAGCTCCAAGTGCGGGATACTAATTTAAGAAAATCTATAATTACAAGTGAGTATACTAAATACTGTAACAGAAATTAGCACCGGGTATTGGAGTAAGCCAGAGAAAGTGAATGTAAATCATTCTGAAGGTGGTTAAAAACACATTGTATTTTTAAAAGCAAATGGAAAATGGCCTGGCAGATTTGGTATAGACATGTGGGTACACTATTCTGGGCAAAGGAAATAGCATCTGCAGACGGAAGGCTATGATCAAGTATTGGGCATTAAGAAGTACTAGTAGTTACGCCAGACATATTCCCTTTTAAAAAAAATATTATGCTATCAGTGAATAACAGACCTTTTACATTATATTACATGATGTTCACTCAAATATTTATCAAACATCTTCTAAGTGTCAGATACTGTGGTAGGCCAAGGTACTCACTGATAAGATCGTAAACAATATTTAATTGTAATTTTAAAAGGTGAAGGAAATAAGCGATGACGGAAAATTACAAGGAAAAGACTCACCTACAAATTGTTCAAGGAAGGCCTCTGTGAGAGGGTAGGTAATATTTAAACTGAAACCTAAGGATAAAAAAGCACCAAAGGGTGGGGTGGGGTGAAATGTTGGGAAGTAGTTTTAGTTGGGAATAGCACAGTCAAAGCTCTTGAAATAGGAAATAACCTATTTCTTTGGAGGAACTGAAAGACTATTGGTATAGTTGGAGCTTAGTAAGTAAAGGAAAAAAGAGGACAGGAAGATTAAAGAGAGATAATCTAAGCCTTAGATAACAGTGTCAAGTTCAAACTTTATTTGAAATACAGTCAGCAATTGAAGGCTGTCATTAAGCATAGGAATGCAGTTTACCTATTTGTTTGTAAAAGGTTATTCTGCTGTTTGGAGATCAGAATTGAAATGGGACAGGTAAAAGAACTGCAGTAGTCTAGTCAATAAATGTTGGCTTGGAAAAGGGCGGTAATAGTAGAGCGTGAGAAAAATGGACAATTTTGAGATATATTTTTTGTGGTAGAAACAATAGAACATGTTGATGGAAATGAGAATTTGGGAAAAGAGGAACTGGCAGAATGAAAGATGACCGGTTGTACTGAGTAAGTAATTAGAATTCTTATTGCAACTAACAGAGTTTTATATCAGCTATTATACTAGAAGAGGTATTTAATGAAAATGTCCTACATTTTCAAATATTATTCACCTTAATGTTCTGCTAAACATAGTAAGATTATTCAAGTTTTAAAACAATGAGATATTTCATAAACAGTATCACACAGTAATATATATATATATATATATTTCTAAAGTATGATTTTTCACAAAATAATTCAGAAAACATTGAACAAGTATTTACTGACTGCCTACTATATGCTAGTCACTGTATTAAATGCTGATAAAGAATTTGATGCAGTCTTTTGAAAACAAATCGCCCACTCTTTGTATATTACAACATAATTATTTGTAAGAATCACATTATGACATAGTTAAACATCATAATTTTTACTTTACATGTTATGCAAATTCAATACAACAACAAAATACTAGTTTGGCTACTTTCCAAGATGATAATCTTTCAAAGGAAATGATTTGATACATACCTTTTGAAGGTAGTTTCGAAGATTCAGGTTTCATCAAAGATTGCTGTTGAACAGCCTTCCCACATAATGAGTTGACAGGAATTTTGTTTTTCTCCAAACTCTTTGTAATTTTGGTATCAGAGATACTTTCTGGTATACAATTTTGATTAATCTGCGAAAGAATCTGAGAATTTTTGATCTTTGTAAACCTGTACTTAGAAAATTTAACTGTTCTGTTAAGATCATTCTGAGCTTCATCTGTTATGGTCCCATGGAACAGAGGCCGACTACTCGATTTCTTCTTACAAGTAGCTATTTCTCTACTCATACAATCTGAATTCACATTCAAACTTGAACTTCTTATAAGAACAGATTTGGAACTATTCACTTCTACTGGAATACCAGTATTACTCCAAGAGACAGGCAAATTATTGATCAGACAACTTGAGTTCTTAGAGTATATAGTCAAATTTGTTGTCGCACCTATAAAACTTGGAGAATTTCCACAAATTTCCCCTTTCTGCATCTTCACTGATTTATTTATTTGTGAGCTACCAGTTGATGATGACTGTGCTGAAATATCACTCAGATTCAAATACGTTGATTGCACCAACTGACTTCCTTGTTTAGATGTAGTAAATGTGTTTTTGGCTCCATGTTTGGAACTATTATTAATGTCAAGTATACTTTCTGATGTCTTGTTGTCCTTTCTCATGTCTTGCTGCTGAGTTAGTCTTTCAATATCATCACATGCTTGGTATAATAGGTCATCCTCTACATCATCTTCCCAGGTATTCTCTAATTGATGACATGCTTTAACAATTTCACTGGCAAATGATGGGTCATTCCAATCATCAGAGAAAGAATCCATATTTGATGCATTAGTCTGATTTGCAATGTCCAAAGCAGCAGAGTCAAAAGGAACTATATTAGCAGGTGTCTTAAATGACTGATTAAAAATTGACTTATTTTTCTGTTCATTAGAATATCCTGTGTTCAAAGTAGACTTTTTTTGAGAAGTATTTACATTAGAAATAAATTTAGTTTGAATATCTTCTTTTACTTTTGTCGGATCGGATGCAACTGCACCATCTTGAGTTTTGCCTTGAATGATTTTATTAAAAGATTTCTCAAATTTTACTTTATTTCCAATGGATAGTAATTTGTTTGGTTTATCATTTGAATTTGGTAAAAATCTGTATTTTCTAGCATCTATTAATTCATTGGTATGTGTGTTTGAAGAAACGTCCAAAATTTTTGAATCTCTAAACTCAGCATCTAGACTTGTATTCATTCTTGAGTTACTTTTACCATTTTTACTGTTAAATATACAAATGTCTTTTTGATCAACCATCTGGACTGTTTCAGGAGCAGAAAAAAGTTCAGATCTTTCTACATTTTGCGTAACAAAAGGTTCATTATTTAGTAAGTTTTCCCATTCGTCCTCAAAATCACCAGTAGTAAATACATCTGTGTGCTTATTAAAAGCTTCTGGCTCCTTAGTACTGGAAGTCACATATGATTTTGTCATTCCAAGAGTATCTACTTGATGAGAAAGTGATGTTGGGGGTTTGTTTCGTAGTTTTTCAGTAACTTGAGTTTCATTACTAATGATTTTCTCCTCTTTCAAAGCACTTTTCTTTCCAAAGGTAGTATTAACAGTGCTCCATAAGGCATCTGACAGATCTTGGCTTAACTGTCCACTACACTTCTGAGTAGAACCATCAAAAATGGCATTAAAAGCTGCTTCAGCATTTTGGTCAAATGGCTTCTGACTGTGATATTGATCATTTACCACAGATACCTTGGTGTTTTCTTTCATTGGCTTCTTTATTATACAATTATCTATTTCAGGAACTATCTCATGTAATAACTGCATCTGTACATTATCTTTATAATTATTTAAAGTCTCTGCTTCTGAAATCATCTGGATAAAATCATGATTTCTCTTGTTTTGCTCTTGAATCACATCTAGCTCTTCCATATTTTTATCAAATTGCTTAGCCAATTTCATAAGTTCTTCCTCTTGATTCTGTGTTTTTAACCTAGACAAATATGTTAAAAATTATAAGAAAAGTTCTAAGAGTTGTTATAAATATTCAATTGTTATTTGACATATTTTAATGTTAAAACATGAAAATTTTAACACATTATAATTACTTTAAGTACAAAATTCTACACGTCAAAATTAAGGAAATGTTTTTGATATAATCACAAAACCAAATCAATTATTGAAAATATTTACTTCACTGAATGTCAGAAAAAAAACTAAAAAGTTTGAATTTACTTTGTGCAGCTGATTTTTGCTCTTGATTTTCCTTTCGCTACATGAGGAGTACAAGGAATAGCAGTTTCACCAATCCACACGCCCAGCATGGAGTCTGTTGTTGGTTTTTCATCCTTTGGTAGAAGGGGAAAAAAAGAGGTGTAAAATAAAATAAAATAAATAAAAAAGAGAGAAAAAGAAAGTAGAAAAGAAAACTTTAACTACATTGATTTATTTTCCTCAAATAATAAATTCTGGTAAGGTGATGGTTACTAAACAATCTCAAAACAATAAGAAGCTGGAAGATATAATAAAAAGTTGCAAAATAATACATTTATATTTTAGGGAATGAAAATATTCAGAATTGAGAATTCCTTATTTTCAAAAAAATGTTCTAGTGATTTAAATAATTTTTTTTAAATAATAAAAGCATTTTTATCAAAAGAAAGCTGATCAACTTATAAGATATTCATAAAAATAAACATTAGTATCAGAAATAAACTGTGAGCAGACATCATGATTTAAGAATAAAGACACATGCCCTAGCGGTTTGGGTCAGTGGATAGAGTGCCAGCCTGCGGACTGAAGGGTCCCAGGTTTGATTTCGTTCAAGGGCACATGCCTGGGTTTGTGGGCTCGTTGTGGGCTCGATCCCAGTGTGCAGGAAGCTGATCAATGATTCTCTCTCATCATTGATGTTTCTATCTCTCCCTTTCTCTTCCTCTCTGAAATCAATATTTTTTTTTTTTTAAAAAGAATAAAGATACATGTGGAATCCTTTGTGTCACTTGATTCTCCAAATTTTCCATATCCCTATTACAATCTTTATCTAAAGTTGCACAGTCTATGTTGACCTGAATTAAGAACACTTACATAGAACTAAGATCAGAATTGAGTTAGAGAAGTATAAGGTCAGAACTGATGCGAATAAGATAAAGAAAAAGTCATTTAGTCCTGTATATTTTTGCTATGACTTTCAATTACTTGATCATGTAAAATATTAGAGAATAAGTTTATGTATTAGTTATAAACCAAACCAACACAAAAAAATAGGTTAACTATTTTCTACTCTATTTTTATAGTACCTATAATGAACATAAATATCACATAAGGTAAAAATAATCTTATCACTAGATTATAGGTTACTTGAAGGCAAGAATTATTCTTATGATAGTTCAGCATCTATCTAGCAAAATGCTGGACATAAAGATGTCAGTTCATGGTTATTTACTAGAATCCTTAATTGATCAGCAGTTTTCTTAGATGGCCAATTGATCCTAGTAAATTTTAGCTTTGCAAAACATTAAAAACCAACCAAACAACAAAAGCATTAATTTTACTTTCAGTATTATTTTTTCCCCTTTGTTTCAATAACCTTGATTTAGGAAAAACAACATTCTTAATGATTTAATTATGGTTTTCTTTTTTGCCCATTTAGCAAGTAATTTTACATTCATTCCAATTTTTAGAGAATAAAAGTATGATAATTTTATATATCCAATTTTACATGGACATGGGTACTTTGTATACAATTTTTATACTATTTGTGTTATATTTTTAAAATGTCTTCATTAATAACTACACAATACAATCCAGGTACTGTATTAAGATATCTAAGCACTATATTTAATCCTAAAGAGTACACACTGTGTAGTTAAAAAACGATTGGAAAATATACCGCCCATCTTCAAATAAACAACATTGCATAAAAAGAATCCTTGAAAGTGAATGTCCAATTAAAAGGGAAGTGCATATATTTTTAAATGCCATCTCTGAAAATATTAAGTTGATTTAAATAATTATTTGAGGTTAACTCACCTAAAAATAAACATGAATATGTCATTTGTGAATACTTTTTAAAGCTTTTAAAAAGATCTTGATATTACCAAAGATTTATGTTTTAAAAGTACTCAGTTGAAAAGGGTAACATTTAAAAGCAACTAATTTCACTGTATTTTTTCTTATACACAAGTTACCACTTGCATACTGTTGCCATTTCTTTATATGAGCTATTATTTCCATCCCTCTTAGGTAGAGTCCATTAATTTACTCAACTATCTTTTTATCACTATTTAGGCTGGCCAGCCCAAACACATTTTATTATGCTTCTTTCATGTGAAACTCACAATTAATGAAGATCTATTGTTAACTCATGAAGTAAGTAGTATTATGGCATAAATTCTATTTAACTAATGAACCATATGGAAAATAAATTTCTATGACAAGTCAAACATGGAATGTAGAGCTAGTACCAACAGAGTTGTTTTGACTATTATAGTTGTAATTTGGGATATTTTATAGCCATTAAGAGAAGCTTTATTTCCTGTCTTCTTCACCTGGATTATTCTGATTCCTTGTAACCACAACTTGGATCAGTGCCATCTATTGTTTTTGGTCAACATAGTCACTATCCATGGTTGTGTCAAAGAAAAATAGCCTACTTCCTATAGAAAAGACACTAAGCAAAAATTGGATGTTTTCTGGATTTACATTTGTTAAAAAAGGAAAAAAGAGAGGAAAGTAAAGTCAACTTCAGCACAGAGGTTGACTTTAATTTATATTTCTATTTCACTCAAGCAGTACAAGAAATTAAAAAAAATAAACTTGCAGATGATACTATTACAGTAAATAATTTAACTGTAACTTTAACATAAATAACTTTAACATAACCTTATATTTATAGTGTTCTATAGTTTACAAAGACTTGTTATCTAATATAACCTTCATATTAATTCAATAAAGAGAGCAAGACAAGTAATTCTAGTTTATGGCTGAATGAACTGAAGTTCTGAGAGCTTAAGTAGCTTGCTTGGGGTAACCCTGGAGGTGATCTGAGAACTAACTTCAAATCCAGTGTTTTTCCCACTTTTAAAATATTTCTTGATGATCTTTTAAGTCAACAGTATTAAGAGCAGTTCCAATGGAGAAAAGTTGTGCTACAGTCAATACACATTTACCAATCATTAAAAAAAAAAACCTTAAAAGTTTAAATTTTCATTGTCTGATTCTATTATTTTAGCAACTTGATAATGGTGCCATGTATTGTTAAACAATACTAAAAACAAAATAAACACAAAGCTCTAGTCAAAATCATCACTCTAGAAAATTAAAATAAGGTGACAGAAGATGATTTGACTTTGGTTGGTGGGCACACAGTGCAATATACAGAGCTTGTAACATAGAAACACACACCTGAAACCTATATGATCATATTAAACAATGTCACCCCAATAAATTTGATAAAAATAAAATCTAAATTGAAAATTAAAATAAGATGGTATGTTTAGAAAAGTATAATTACTTATTTTACACTTTCATTTTTCAGAATATGCATTTCCGTAATAAAGGTATTAGTAATATCTGCTGCTCTATTTTCTGCAAAGAGAATTGTAAAAGATAAAACATTTTTCATATAAATGAACTATACAAGGACTTAGTAGCATAAAGTAATTATAAAACTAGTAATATTTACCTGAGGAGCAATACAATTAACAATATGTGAGATCTCATCACTATCTGTGTTGTAAATCTTTTTTTTCCTTCCTTTACCTAAAGAAAGAAACACATTTCTATAAATGTAAATAAAAAATATTTTTAAAAATAGTGGTCATTTCTTAGAAAACAAGTTTAATTAGCACATCTATGATAGCACATGTATATCACAGCAATACAATCAGATAAGATTTTCAAAAAACACCTACTGTACAAAATTCATGATGTTGTTCCCCCAAATGAAATTCAATAGTTTAAATTCTAAATCATTTCTCAAATAGTTACCCAGATAAAAATGTTAATAACCAATTACCTAACTGTTTGGTCATTGGAGAATTCTGATCCCAAAAGATATCATTTAGTCCATCTGGATCATTAGGAGAATTGAAGGTAGATGACAACTCCATTTTCAGCACTCTCTTTGGTGTTTCATACTTTTCTATATAAAATAAGATTAAAATAGCAGTTGTTGCATCTTAAAGCATTGCTTCACAATACCCCTATATCAAATAATAGCTTTTAACAAGATTACTTTTTATAGTCCAATTATCTAATTTTCCCCCAGAGATGACTTAATATAAATTTTCACAACCGAAATGTTTCACATAAAAATCCTTCCAATACCTCCCAAATTTAACATTATAAACAGCAAGTAGTTTAAAGCAATCTAGTAGGTCTATGGATGTATAATACTGTAGGCCCTAGTCACTCCATTCATTACCACTGGAACTTGGAGGCTTTGGGAACCACCTGTCATGTACAGATACATTGCAACCATCCACAGCATCCCAACAGAAACTTCAGTACAAGCCTGTTTAGCCCGCTTCCACCAACTCTGTCCAACCTAAACCAACTGCTTCAAAGAGCTTTAGCGTTCCACCTCTTGGAAAGTTCTGTCCAGCATCACTTTTAAAATGGATCATTAGGAGAATTGAAGGTAGATGACAACAACTCCATTTTCAGCACTCTCTTTGGTGTTTCATACTTTTCTATATAAAATAAGATTAGAATAGCAGTTGTTGCACCTTAAAGCATTGCTTCACAATACCCCTATATCAAATAATAGCTTTTAACAAGATTACTTTTTATAGTCCAATTATCTAATTTTCCCCCAGAGATGACTTAATATAAATTTTCACAACCGAAATGTTTCACATAAAAATCCTTCCAATACCTCCCAAATTTAACATTATAAACAGCAAGTAGTTTAAAGCAATCTAGTAGGTCTATGGATGTATAATACTGTAGGCCCTAGTCACTCCATTCATTACCACTGGAACTTGGAGGCTTTGGGAACCACCTGTCATGTACAGATACATTGCAACCATCCAGAGCATCCCAACAGAAACTTCAGTACAAGCCTGTTTAGCCCGCTTCCACCAACTCTGTCCAACCTAAACCAACTGCTTCAAAGAGCTTTAGCGTTCCACCTCTTGGAAAGTTCTGTCCAGCATCACTTTTAAAATTTCTAGAGATTTGTTTTTGCTCATTCGGGCGTTGCTTTACGCCAGTCAACTGAAGACGAGTTAAGGCAACAAAAGCCATGTTTGGAGAACACGCTCCAGGAAACGGCTTCAGTGTGGGGTTCAGTTCCCACCATGATTTATTAGAAATCTTTCAAACAATGGGACACCAGAAATTGATGGGAATGAAATATACTCCAGGGCCCTCCTGTGCGGGGAGTCCTACATAGGCACTTCCGGTTCATGCCCACCGAGAGGAGACATCCCCAAGGCTCCGCGGCTACAGAGCTATGGCTCTTCACAGGGTCCCTGCGCTAAAGCAAGTCGGGGCAAAACGGTAAGCGGAAGGAACTGCCTAGGAAAAAGCTGGAGGCCGTTCTCCTCGCTCCGCCACCGCTGACTCTGAGCAGCAGCCCAGAAATGAGCCGCCCTCCCTCCTTCAGGGGTACCCCACACCCCTACTCCTGGGGCAGGAGCGACAGTGGGTGATCAACCCGAACGGGGCAGTGCTCAGACTCGGGGACCGAGGCCAAGGGGAAGTGTGCCCGGTAAGTTTGGGGCTGACGAGGGGAGAGGCCCAGAGCAAGAAAACACCCCGCAGACCCCACCCCCACTCCCATCTCCTTCCCCAGTCGCCGGCTGGGCTGCGGGGCTGCGGGGCCTGGGCCCAGAGAGGCCACGTCTCACGCCCCCCCGGGGTTACTTTTACCGCAGGAAG